TTTATATACAATTTTCTAACTCTATTTCCTTAACTAATTATATATGTATGTGTGTGTATATGTACATGTGCATGTATGTATATTTACATAAGATTACCAACCAATGCCTTGGTCTTCTAATTATATTTTTATTGCTTGCATGTGCATCGGCTATATACATGCAAAGCCTATTATCTAATGCATTTTCTAATGCATGCATAGGTACAGTGACGAGCAAAAATGTAACATGGTTTAACACTTTTTGTTTCAGCCACCGCTATATTTCCAAGTTCTAACGCCTTTCATACTTTTGCTGTATATTCTTGTTGGTACATTCCTACTCCCTCTCTCATAATGATTTGAAGTCAATAGAACAACAATAATAAAACCAGCAGACAAAAATGTAAATTAAGGCAGATATTACAGTTTTGCACTCATATATTTTTAAGAGCTTTTTAACAATTTTCACGAAAAAAAGAACTACTAACACAATGTTCATTACTCTTTTGCCTGTTTCAGTTCCTAGATGTGATTTGGCATACCTTATTTGTATCTTTGTAAAAATTCTAGAGGTATATCCTTAGTTTGCTTTCACAGCTCATATACTCGATTTTACGGACTTTGATACTTATTACGCTGTGCTTTTAGTTGATTTCGCAAATTCGATGAGATTCATGTCCGCGGTTTGTGGAGGTCATTTCAAATTAGCAAATTTTTGCTTTTGTATCCAGCCTTTGCGAACATATGCAGTATGTTTTGGGTGATTTTTCAGCAGAAACTCTCATTTTTCGACTACATCTTGCAAATTTTGTTGAAATATGAACAGATACTGTTCCTTACGCATAATGCGTACTAACGGACCAACAAAATTTTTGAAATACAACCCCAAACAATTAAGATCCTACCACTGTGATTCACAGTTTGCAGTACATGATTCGCTTAGGCTTAATTTGGGTCTTTCATCCATCCATCTGATTGAAAGCGATTAATTTAGTCTTGTCAGACCAAATAACCTTCAATTGAAACTTAAAAATATGTTTTTTATTGTATTCTGAACGGCCTAACATATCCCAATAGGCAACGGTTCGGTTTTCGTGCGATGCAGCGAAATTCTGCCACACTCGCACATGTATTATGATCAGATTTGCTTTTTTCTTCTTTATGATGCCTTTGCGCTCAATTTGGAAATTCTTCGCCTCGCTGTCTATTGATTTGCATTAAAGTTTTATACCTTAAGCGCTTCTGTAATAGTGGCTGCATCGCTACTTGGTTCTAAGTTCACAAGATATCGTACCGTAATATTTTTTAACAGACTTCCTTTGTCCTTGGGAACACTTTAGGCTATATTTTGTCTAAGTCTTAACATTTTTAAGTAGCAAATTCCAAAGTTTTTTGCCACTTTTCGTGCGGTTCCGCCTCTCCGCAGTAAATCTATTATTTACATTTATGGTTCCTGATTAACTATGTTATTTACTGGTGATCACCTCTTCAATAAAATACAATATAGAAAAAAGTCATCTGACTTCCAACTAAGTAAAAGATAACTGTCAAATGCAAAACTGAGAGTGAGTGCAAAACTGTAACATCTGCCTTAATTTACATTTTTGTCTGCTGGTTTTTTTATTGTTGTTGTATTGACTTCAAATCATTATGAGAGACGGAGTAGGGATGTACCAACAAGAATATACAACAAAAGGACGAAAGTCGTTACAACTTGGAAATATAGCGGTGGCTGAAACAAAAAGTGTTAAACCATGTTACAGTTTTGCTCGTCACTGTATGTGTGTATATATATTTGTATGCAAGAGATAAACGCATTGATCTCTTATTTCAGTATGTATTATAATTTATGTTTTGATAAGCAGCAATCTTCGTACTCAGGCAACAAGATCGCAGAGGATTTCGATTGCTTTGCTTATCATACATTTGACATAGTAGTGGACTGTATACATATACGTAAATATTTTCTGTATGTAAATAAGTATGTTTTGTTTCTTGCATTGCATGTGCAGACAAATCGATCCTTTTCTAAATACATGTTCATATGGATGAGTATATGTTATTGGCTAAGTAGGTACATACATATGCACGTATTTTTTATGTTAAATTTTATTACCCTGGCAGATATGTACTCATGTTCAAAGATGTTTGAACATATTGCCGAGGACAAAAAAGTGATTATTTGTGTACTGTGTATACATATATTTTTAAATGTTTTTACTACCTATATTATCTTACTTAGGCAGATATACCCATGTTCAAAGATATTTGAACAACGTCTGTTAAGGTGAATGGTAAACGTACCGAACAACCTTTAGAGAGAGAGCAGAAATTAGTCGAATCTTCGACGGGATCGACCACGGTACCAGTCAGATCATCCGGTAAGTGTGAGAGAAAAATGAATGTGCAAAAATTATTTAACGCAGACGGCGTTCAGATTTTTTTTTTTTTTTTTAATTAGACCGTTAACACGGGATAGAAGTTGATAACTGTTTGGCTTACAGTTCGCAAACCATTCAGGAGAGAAATTGGTTTTGTTCAAAATAAATGTCGACTTTCATTGCTATCCGTACCGTGACAGGGAATTATTTTCTTAATCCTTTAAAGAACTTGTCTGTTACGCTAACGCACGCAGCGAGCCGTACGAAAAAAACGTATAAAATCGACCTTTATTTTTTATTAACCCCAAATATATACGTGTGTAGTAAATGACGATATATACGTGGGAAGTAAGTTATTTATATAATATACGTGTATCTAATAGGGATATAAAATATATAATTCACAGCTTTGCCGAAGATTTCGATCGGCCGTTGGGTTGGACGCAAGTTTTCAGAGCCGAACGTGTTCATGCACGTAATGCAACTTGCCGTAAATACGTTCGACTGTTAGTGTATATATACCGGATAATTAACGCACCCAAACCACTGTATTTTGATTTTGACCATTTAGCAATTAACGCGAATAAAGCACTTCGCAAAAAGTATTTAGTTCAATGGTAGAAAAAATGTAAACAAATGCAAATCTAATAAGAATTTGAAATGATTGAGTCCTAACACCTGCCCAACCGGTTCAAATTTGATATGAATTTTACGTAAATACAAGGAAGTGATACTAGTGCGAATACGAATACAAAAGAATTCAAAAAAAAACAAAACAAAAGGCACTGTTTTGAATACACACATGCATTCATACAAGTAGTAAGGTTTGCTGCTGCTCCGGTGGCTCAATCGGAGCAAGCTTTGCTGCTCCGCCAAAAGATGTCGCCGATCGAAATCCAAGCTCGGAACCCAGATAAAAGCCGCAAGATGTCGCTGATAACAAATCCGAGTCCAGAACCGGAACCGATCACAGGGTGTACCGCTGATGGAAATCTGAGAAATCCGATACCATTCAGAACCGGAATCGATAACAGGGTGTACCGCTGATGGAAATCTGAGAATTCCGATACCAGGTGGTTTATATGTCGAAAATTAGTAAAGTGTGTTGGTATGCAGTCAGAAATATATACAAACCGTACATATGTATATACATATGTAGATGCTCCACCCCTAGAATGAAGAAGTGTGTTAATAATGTGCACATAGTTGATTGCTAAGTATTTAATATGTATGTGTATATGAATGGAAAGAAGATGAGAACAAATAAAATTTAATTCGAAATAAAAGAAAGTTTTATAATTACTTATTTATTTTGATAATAAGAATTTTAAGCATAAATGGCCACAATTATATGAATTATAGCTTTGCTGTTGATTATAGTTATAGTTAATGTTTTTTCCTAAATACTTTATTATTTGCTTAGGA